TGAAACCGTCCTCTTTTCCACAAGTTACCAAAAACGAAATCAGATTTCTTTGCTTACCTTCATGTGTTTTGGGTGAAGCACCTTTCATATATGCGGACATCTGTCATGCACGATGGATGCCCCTGTTGACACTCCAACCTTGAATTGCAGTGCAAGATCCTGCATTGACGTTGCCGATGACAGGTACCTGAATAAAAACAAAACATTGCTGTGTACATTAATGTCTGGAAGCCGAGAAACTAGTAATGAGTTCGCCATATAAACCAGTTTAATTGCCCCTCGTATTCACTCCAAACAGTGAAGTTTAAAGAGAATACCGTTTTACCTCAAAGTAATAGCAAGCCGCACCCGCGACGAAATGGGCTCTCTGACGACATATTGCTTCGTAGGCTTTGTTTCCAGGCGAGTGTGGAGTCTTTCAAAGGCGTTCCGCATTATCCAGTAATATCTTCGAAGCTGCTCCGGGTCGCTGTGCAGCATAAAAAGGGTCTGCAGAGAAAAAGTATTCCAGAAACCTGCTCGCAGAAAAGCACAAGTCGACTTACCAATGAGTAAAACTCCGATTCTTTGGCTCTGTTTTGCCAGCACGGCCTGACCCGCCATCGCCGCGGGCTGCCGTCTAGGAGCAGGAGTTTCTTTTCCGCAGAAGTAGGTATTCCTTTTTACAGAGCAGTCTGAACTCGTTGTCATCAGCGGCCATTATGCTCTATGAAAGTCAAGACGCGCTGCTACTTGCCATCTTTCAATATGGAACATCGTCCACGTGACGAAGCCACCGGGACAACTGTTCGCCTTGCGCGACATGCCAAGCAACGCAACAAAGCTTGCTCAAGCAGTTATGAGCTGTGACTCTCCCGGTGTCCTTGTCGCGTTCGTCGTACTCGTTGTTTTCGTCGTTTTCGTTGATGCGAATGCAGTCGATGCAAACGTCTGAATCGGCCCTAAATATAAGTATACGGCGTACTTTTTACCAGAAGCTAATAAATAAATCTGAAAATTTTATAATTTTGTTAAATATCAAAATTAGTATCGCCAAACGAATTCAAGGTTTCCAACCATGTGCTTCGCAAGTGCGAAAAATCGCATATGTTCTCAATCAATGTGAAAGGAAACGCGAAATTTCGCATGTGCGGTACATCGCGTCACCGATTTCGCAGGAGAAAATCGCACCATGTGAATCAGGCTTTACGCAATTTTTAGAGCTCTGATAATTGCAATATTCAATTTACGAATTTTTATAATTTTCATCTGGCGACCAGGCAACACTGCTCAAGTTAGTCACACCATGGTGTCCATAAACCACGTGACTATGAACACTCTCTCATTCTAGGCGCCCCCATGATCGCCCAAGCTCTTTTCGTCGCGGTACGGACAAAACCGCTCAAACAGCTCGGTAAACTGAAAGCTATTCTCGCTCTCGCCCTCCGGCCGGTTGACCTTCCACCCTGCATGCGCCTGCGAGATATTCCCGGACGACGGTGACCACGGCGAACTCGTCGTCGCTGGAGCTCGTCGCCAGCGGGTCGCAGTCAAAAGGAACAGCTTCCAACATCTCTTGATAGCAATCACTCTCATCGCTGCTGCGATCAATGTCGAACACTTCGACAAGGCGATCGATGCCGTAGACGTAATCGTCACGGACCGGATGCTGGAAACGTGGAAGGTGAACGAGGAAGCTGAGAGTTGATATGCCAAGAAGAGCCGAGTCTGTGAGTGCGTGCAAGTAGAAACCACGCTGGAGGCTGGCTACGTCATCGGCCTCCAGGTCCGCCCGGATCTGCCCCTCCGAGGGGCCCGCATATAAATCGATTTATCCACGAAATTTTCGCGTCTTTTTCAAAACAAATTTAGAAGGATTATAGGAACATACAATGGGTCCTAGCTGAATAGTTATGTAATATTTTATTTTTGGCGTGTCATAACCCCTTTAATTGCGACATCAAGCAGGTCAAATGTTATACAGGGTATTTAATATTAATTAAAACCAGTTTGTTAAAAAAAAAGAAGGGAAAAAGGGGTGAGAGCTAGACAAGTGGCGCCTTCACCGTGTATTTGTTAAGCGAGAAAGACATTAGATATGACGGTATAATCCTCATAGTCAACTTGATAATTAACTAAAATCACTTAATTAACTTTTCGATATTGGTTTTAGAAGTCGCGTTGAAATTGCAGTGTTGACGGAAATTTCTATTAGAGGCTAGACCCATTCAAAGGTATTGCAAAAAAAAAAAAAGAAGAAAAAAAGAAAAAATAGCTTTCGAGATGTTTTTGATACATTTTGACGTTATTTAGCCCCATTTAAACAGTGAGCGCAAAAAGAGTGCCGCTAGCCAGTGTGCCGTAGTCGTTTCAGTCATGTCGTCACTATACCTTAGAGCTGGCAAATTGCTTGCATGTTTTATTACGAATCACTTTACCTAATACTTTCCAAATCTATTTAAATTGCACTACAAGTTGCCACAACATAGAGTAATTAATTACGATTACAGATTACTTCGGAAAAGTAATGACATTACTCCGAAATAACTTGTTTTTGACCATAGTGGAAACGTTACTGAAGTCTCATTCTGCACTTACGTAATCATCTCTTGAACAGTAAGTATATCTAGACCAATGCAGAGAATTCGGAGTGTCTCCGATTTTATATGACACCTTTTCACAGTCACCCTCTTCCTTTATTATTTCAATCTTGGCATCCACGCGTCACTTGATGCATTTCCGCTTTACTTTTTGCCCGCTTAAAATTTCTCGGAGCTGCGTTATTTTAAGCTTGCTTTGCATTCTGCACGCGCACAAAACTTACCGCTCACAAAATAATTTATTAAATTACTAAATTATTTACACGAAAAAATAAGTTATTTACATTACTCATTATTGCAAAAAGTAATTAAATTATTTTGCATTAATTTTATTACTGCCACCTCTGCCATCTCGGCAGCGTGTTATTAAGGGGTGCGCCGACGACAGAAGGGGAACCGTGGCTGAACGGCTGCGTCACTCTTCCTAGCGTCCCTGTGGGCCGGGCTTGCGGCGCTCTTATTGCGCGTAATTTTTACATAGGGCTAAAAACCGTGAAAATGTATCAAATAATATCCAAAGAAAAATTACATTTTCGCAAATCCTTTTAATAGACCAATGTCACCAAGCGTTCGGCGCATGCGTGACGCCGCCCTAACTTTAGTCATAGCCTTCTCGGCTAGGCTTTCGTTCACATAAGAAAATGGGCAGTACACGAGATGGCTCGTGTTGTCTCGTGCTCTGCACGCGCTGAGCTCCAGCGAGGTTGTCGCACGCGCTGTAGAAAGACCAAAGCTCCCTCGATGCATTGCGGAAGCGGTGGCCGCAATGCATGGAGCTGGTGACGCCGGTCTATTGGTCTGGCCTAGTCTAGCCTCTATAATAGTAATTGCCGTCAATACTCCGATTGCAACATGTCCCCTAAAACCAGCAATGACACATTTAATTAACGGATTTAAGTTAATTAGCCAAATTGACACGACAATTATCCCCTCATCTAATGTCGGGCGAGCTTGATAATTGCACGGTGAAGACGGCACTCGTCTAACTCTTACCTTTTTTCAAAAGATATGCTCGAATTAAAATAAAACGTGCCTGTATATTGCCGCCTGCCAAGAGCTGAGTCAGCAGCGAGCACGACTCCCACGCCGCTGGCTTGGGTTTGATCCCCTCCAGCGCTTTTCCCTTTTTGTCTCTCTTTTGTTTGCATGACTAAAATGTTCCAGATGACTCGAGGATCTTGTTGTTTGTTCAAGCTTGGGAGCTTCTAGATATCCATGCGCTTACGAAAGGAGCTTCGCATGGCTGCTTGAGGCAGTCGTCCTTCCGTCGCCGTCAAAGAATGCACGGTCCTTGTTACTTTATGCTTCTCGGCACAAGTTCGCCGCCTTAAACGTTCATTTTAAGTTATAGGAATCAAGTTTATGTTTTTATTTGTGACAATAGGAAGCTCAATTTTAAATCAAGCTGAGAATTGTTACATCAGGCATGTTGCTCTGGGGTGAGAATAAGTGACGGGCTCACACGTGACCTAATAAGTATGAAACACGAAAAGACTTCGCCAGTAAGTTGCTAACCTAGTGGATTGAGCCGAGAAATACATAGCCCACCGCATTTCTCCCGAGTGAATACAATGATAAGAAGATTCGAGAATTTTCCGCGCGAACTGACGAGTTAAAATACGAATGTTTTCCTCAAGTTGTTCAAGACTGGAACATGCTGCCCGATTTGATAGTATAGAGCTGCCCTCTGTTTACTTATTTTTTGATGGTTATCTTTTGTATAGTTTCGTATTGCTCTTAACTATGCTTTTTATAATGTAGCATAGCCTGTAGCTGTATTGTGTATTCTTTCACCCCCTCCCCCATTGCTGTAATGCCCACCGGGTAACGAAGGTATAAAATAAATAAATAAAAGAAATAACCATTTTCAGCAGCTGCTCCGAAGCCGCCATATTTTGGGCATCCACTGTGAGCACGTATTAGACACGACTGCTGCGAGAGTGTTCGGCGTGAGTCGAAGCCAATCACATGCTATTCGCAGAAAGCGATGCCCAAAATATGGCGGCGCCAATTATTTAGTGGACTCCTGAAAAAAAAATTCTATAATTCACGAGTGCATTTATAACCGAAAAGGTGACTGCTAGCCTGGTTCGCACTCTTGCGACAGGCAAGAACACACTGGCGCCATCTGTCGGGTAGCTGCGGAACACACATGCCATTCCCGTATATTATTTCGCGCATCATTCTTTCTTCATTGGCTCGGAAAAAAGTTTTAAAGTTTTCTCATAGATAGTACCTACATTTGATCTCGCAAATAGCAGAAAACCTTCGCTCTATAGTAAAATGCAGTTTCAGGATCACCTCATGGCGCCAGCGTGTTCTCTCGTCGTAAGAGGGCAAGAGATCACAAGGACCGGGTCGTAAGCAAATGCGACTGTGTGAACCAGCCTTAAAGAAAGCGGAGTGTTTAGTTGAGTATACCCTCGCAGATCGGGTACGTCTTTCCCTTGGCGTTGGTCGTTATGGGGAAGTCCCGGGACTCGCAGCCGCACCGATGGCGTACCAGGTCCTGATGGCAGAAGCTCATGCAGTCCTGGGGGCCATCGGAGTTGGTTCATTATTATCTTATTTTCTGAATGCCGTTCACCCCTCACGGGGGCTGTGACAACTATGCGGAGTAGAATTTCACATTTTAGCGTTTAAAATACATGTTCACTTAAATTATACAACAGAAAGCAAAACAAACAAGAAAACGTATGAAAGCAATAAAATTCCACTCTGGTGAAGAAGGAAGACCAGCGGAGCTGTAAAATGGAAAGTAATGGCCGGCCGCAAGTCAGCAAGCCAGAGTGGAAAGGCTGCCGCCATCTATGAGCCACGGTGGCAACGACATACGTGGTTTGCCGCCGTTGCTCATAGATGGCGGTAGTTGTCCAGAGTTTTGGGTCGACATTTCTTTGCGGGTGACACGATCCTGGAGAAACTAGCCCTTAACAGCTCCCCTGTAAAACTTTAACTGAAACACTCTACACTTCAATAGTACAAAATATAAGTTCAAACAGTCAACACTAGTTATCCCTTCCTGTTATGAGAACGAGCAAAACTATATATGTATTTAACGGATTATATTACATGATTTGAAATACCATTTGCAATTTCCTGTAAACAGTCTAGCGACACAATATTCTGCGGAAGGTTATTCCAGTCACGCATAGTTCTGGGAAAAAAACGAGTACCTATATACGCCGATATCGTATTTCGAGAGCTAAAACATAAAACGCGTCTTCTACAACCCCCCCCCCCCCCCCCCCCCCCCCCTCCCCCGCAGTCCCAGTCCAGTCCCAAAATTTTGTCCCAAAGTTTTGTCCGTTCTTCCGTGCATTAATTTAGAGTCCAAGTTAACACCTATACGCGTTTAGTTTCCCCCCACTTAATTTAGCGGGGAAATTCATAAAAATATTGGTTTTTCTCTCCCCCCCCACCCTTTGTTTTTTCGAAACGACTGTTCTCTGTCTTTTAAACAAATTTACTGCATTTCATGCATCAAATCACTTCGGAAATAAAAGTCGCTGCCATTGCCATGTTATTGCTTGGTAGGACGGCAAGCTGCAAAACCCACGCTCTGGGAACAAATCTCTGTAATGAAAAAACTTTTGCTGTGTAAAAGTGTAAAAAAAAAAAAATTGGTTGAAGTTACATCTAATTATTCATTGTCAGTCTTCATTCCTTTTCCTTTCCATCATTTTACCGTCAGAAGCATTTACATAAACGGCGGTGTTTTGTTGTGCAGTCCACGGCTGTGAAATGCGAACGATGTAAAGTAGTCACATTGATCATGCGTAATACAGAAGACAAGGTATTTGCGGCAGACACGGTTTTCGTTGCAGACACGTTGTTTACTGGAGACGCTAGAGAGTTCTAGGGAACCGTTTTCGCACATCCGATACGGTACTGTGGACCCTCCGGTACGCACTGCGCATATGCTACCGCAGAAAGTTTCTTAAAACTCTGTATTAGGGAGTTTTAGGGAAGCGTTTCTGCACATCCGATACGGTACGATGGGCCCTCCGGCACGAAGTGCGCATGTGCTACCGCCCGCAGAAGGCTCGCGCATGCGCAGTGCGTACCGGAGGGCCCTTCGTACCGTATCGGATGTGCAAAGACGGTTTCTTAAAACTCTGTATTAGGGAGTTTTAGGGAACCGTTTCTGCACATTCGATACGGTACGATGGGCCCTCCGGTACGAAGTGCGCATGTGCTACCGCAGAAGGCTCGCGCATGCGCAGTGCGTACCGGAGGGCCCTTTGTACCGTATCGGATGTGCAAAGACGGTTTCTTAAAACTCTGTATTAGGGAGTTTTAGGGAACCGTTTCTGCACATTCGATACGGTACGATGGGCCCTCCGGTACGAAGTGCGCATGTGCTACCGCAGAAGGCTCGCGCATGCGCAGTGCGTACCGGAGGGCCCTTTGTACCGTATCGGATGTGCAAAGACGGTTTCTTAAAACTCTGTATTAGGGAGTTTTAGGGAACCGTTTCTGCACATTCGATACGGTACGATGGGCCCTCCGGTACGAAGTGCGCATGTGCTACCGCAGAAGGCTCGCGCATGCGCAGTGCGTACCGGAGGGCCCTTTGTACCGTATCGGATGTGCAAAGACGGTTTCTTAAAACTCTGTATTAGGGAGTTTTAGGGAACCGTTTCTGCACATTCGATACGGTACGATGGGCCCTCCGGTACGAAGTGCGCATGTGCTACCGCAGAAGGCTCGCGCATGCGCAGTGCGTACCGGAGGGCCCTTTGTACCGTATCGGATGTGCAAAGACGGTTTCACGGTTTCTTAAAACTCTGTATTAGGGAGTTTTAGGGAAGCGTGTTTGTACCTCCGATACGGTACGATGGGCCCTCCGGTACGCACTGCGCATATGCTACCGCAGAAAGTTTCTTAAAACTTTGTATTAGGGAGTTTTAGGGAAGCGTTTCTGCACATCCGATACGGTACGATGGGCCCTCCGGCACGAAGTGCGCATGTGCTACCGCCCGCAGAAGGCTCGCGCATGCGCAGTGCGTACCGGAGGGCCCTTCGTACCGTATCGGATGTGCAAAGACGGTTTCTTAAAACTCTGTATTAGGGAGTTTTAGGGAACCGTTTCTGCACATTCGATACGGTACGATGGGCCCTCCGGTACGAAGTGCGCATGTGCTACCGCAGAAGGCTCGCGCATGCGCCGTGCGTACCGGAGGGCCCTTTGTACCGTATCGGATGTGCAAAGACGGTTTCTTAAAACTCTGTATTAGGGAGTTTTAGGGAACCGTTTCTGCACATTCGATACGGTACGATGGGCCCTCCGGTACGAAGTGCGCATGTGCTACCGCAGAAGGCTCGCGCATGCGCAGTGCGTACCGGAGGGCCCTTTGTACCGTATCGGATGTGCAAAGACGGTTTCTTAAAACCCTGAATTAGGGAGTTTTAGGGAAGCGTGTTTGTACGTCCGATACGGTACGATGGGCCCTCCGGTACGCACTGCGCATATGCTACCGCAGAAAGTTTCTTAAAACTCTGTATTAGGGAGTTTTAGGGAAGCGTTTCTGCACATCCGATACGGTACGATGGGCCCTCCGGTACGAAGTGCGCATGTGCTACCACAGAAGGCTCGCGCACGCGCAGTGCGTATTGGAGGGCCCATCGTACCGTATCGGATGTGCAAAGACGGTTTCTTAAAACTCTCTATTAGGGAGTTTTAGGGAAGCGTTTCTGCACATTCGATACGGTACGATGGGCCCTCCGGTACGCACTGCGCATATGCTACCGCAGAAGGCTCGCGCATGCGCAGTGCGTATTGGAGGGCCCTTTGTACCGTATCAGATGTGCAAAGACGGTTTCTTAAAACTCTGTATTAGGGAGTTTTAGGGAAGCGTGTTTGTACCTCCGATACGGTACGATGGGCCCTCCGGTACGCACTGCGCATATGCTACCGCAGAAGGCTCGCGCATGCGCAGTGCGTATTGGAGGGCCCTTTGTACCGTATCGGATGTGCAAAGACGGTTTCTTAAAACTCTGTATTAGGGAGTTTTAGGGAAGCGTGTTTGTACCTCCGATACGGTACGATGGGCCCTCCGGTACGCACTGCGCATATGCTACCGCAGAAAGTTTCTTAAAACTCTGTATTAGGGAGTTTTAGGGAAGCGTTTCTGCACATCCGATACGGTACGATGGGCCCTCCGGTACGAAGTGCGCATGTGCTACCACAGAAGGCTCGCGCACGCGCAGTGCGTATTGGAGGGCCCATCGTACCGTATCGGATGTGCAAAGACGGTTTCTTAAAACTCTGTATTAGGGAGTTTTAGGGAAGCGTTTCTGCACATTCGATACGGTACGATGGGCCCTCCGGTACGCACTGCGCATATGCTACCGCAGAAGGCTCGCGCATGCGTAGTGCGTACCGGAGGGCCCTTCGTACCGTATGGGATGTGCAAAGACGGTTTCTTAAAACTCTGTATTAGGGAGTTTTAGGGAACCGTTTCTGTACATCCGATACGGTACGATGGGGCCTCCGGTACGAAGTGCGCATGTGCTACCGCAGAAGGCTCGCGCATGCGCAGTGCGTACCGGAGGGCCCTTCGTACCGTATCGGATGTGCAAAGACGGTTTCTTAAAACTGTATTGTTTGCTGGGCACACGGCGTTCGTTGCAGACTTGATGAGAGTCATCTCCCGACACGCCTCAAGCATATTCCAAGCACGCTTCCTTCATCTACGCTTGGAACTTCTCTGTAACAGTTTTTGTATGACCAATGTGGCAGGACCGTCTGACAAGGAAGACAGACAGTGTCTACACACTCTTTTTTTTTGTAGTGTGGCCGAAACAAAAAGTTTTTGCACCTTTGTGTGGCGTCGAAGCGTTTTGGCAACTTACCTCTTTGGTGTACCTGGTGGCATTGGTAACGAAGTGCTTCAAGTGTTTGGGCCAGGTGTTCCTGCACGGGTGCTGATATGGCTCTGGCAGGGAGGTACGCTTGTTCTGCACTCGGGACACATGACCATGTAGCACACGTCTATGCGTCACCACGATGACGCGGAGAAATACAATATAGAATGGGTTGAATTAAGGCCAGCATGACACAAACAGCGCAGCGCTAATGAATACTAGGAAAAACGCTGTTGCAGCGCTAACTTCAACGTAACTTAGCCCTGATGTAGCGCTGCGCTGTTTGTGTGAACATATATGACTTTAAACGATATACCTTTGCTGAACTGCATCGTGTATGCACTTCATTGAAAGTACCTATACCTTTATTTTTATCTTAATTTCTGCCTGTGCTGTCTGCCTGTGGATACTTTTTCTATAGGCCAATGAAGTGCCCTATCAGGGGCTGCACTTTGCCAGGGACTGTACCCTACCAGAAACTGTACCGGCTACCAGGGACTGTACCCTATCGGGAACCGTATCTTACCAGGCGCAGGCCAATATAGGTGGAGTAGCCTGGCTCCACGAACACGGCGTCGTTGCAAATGTCCGGCTGGAATCCACGGCCGTGAACCATGACGATGAAACCAGCTTCAGTGGACGTCGGCAGGTATTCGTCTAGTTGAGGGTCAAGCATCACTACCAAGCCTGCAAGATACACTATACTCGGTGACAGGTTTGGATTTCTAAGGAAGCTCCTCCCACCTCTTTCTGCTTTAACAGAGTGAACGCTGGAGAGGAGGTCACTCCCTTCCCAGCGTTCGCTCTGCTAAAATGGAAAGAGGGGGAAGTGCTTCTCCTGCATGCTTATCCTGTCAACGACTATACATTCATCCCGAAGAAAAAAGAAGAGTTACCAAGGTAGTGGTGGGGCAGGTGCTTAACAGTCACTCGTAAGTTAATCGTTCAAACTGTGCTTCTGCTTTTTTTTATCACTCGCTGTTGATCCTTTTTGGGGCTTCGTCTGCTCTCCGCGTGTGAAGAATATAATAATTAGGGTTCAGACGAATGAACTGATGTCCTTACCGTCTTCGGTTCTAGACGTAGTCTGGTAGTGGTAGAAATCCTCTGTGACACCGCCGGCGACTTTGCAATGAAAGCAGAAGCAGTTGCCGAAGCGAGAGTCGAACGTCGGAGCGAAATATCTGCACCGTGTTTAGGAGAAAAGTTTATACCGCATACGCCATAAGAATAAGCAAAAAATGCAAGGAGTATCACGTGGTTCTTCACTGACTCCGAAAAGTTATTGTGCACGGTGGAAAAAAATTACGATTTATTAATGTCAAACAAATAAATCAGACCTCTTAAATTTAAATCAGATTTATTTGATTAAAATTAGGTTACAATTATTTACATCACTGTAGCTTAAAAATAGTGATTCTTTATCAGTAGATGCATTTTAAACATGACATATTGATTTATCGATCCGCTAGATCGCTCTAAACAACGCGAAAAAAAGAATTACTGTAAGTGTAACAATTTAATTAACAACGTCTTTTCGATGTAAACACTGCCACAAAAAAAAAAAAGAAAACAAAACAATTTCAGTTTTATTCACTGAAAAACGCTTTATTTGCTTTTTCTTTCGCATTATGATTTTCTTTCTATAGGACATTACTTAACTGACAAACGCAGTCGACGGTACAAATTTGAACGCTCCGATTTGCTCAGAAGAGCACTGCTATTTCGCTTGTGTCCAGCTTATAAATCTCTCTTGCCTGATGATCCTTCAATTTAAATGAAAACAAGTGCACATAGAAAGCAACATATTATACACGAACGGTAATTGTAAAATACATTTCCGGGATTACTTTCGCAGAAAATGCTTGAAAAAAAAAAAAAAAAAAAAAAAAAAAAACATATCAAAAATCGGTGTGATTCAAATCAGGATTTAAATTGTATTGATTTTAATATTCACCTTGACGCTGATGGCTGTACCGTTCTGGTTTCACTCCGTGCGCAAATGCACCACCCACATCACCAGCAGAGTCAAGCAGAGTACGATGGCCAAATCACAGCATAGTCAGCTGTTTAACGCAAGCTGGGACCACGGTACGTATCATGCACGATCAACCACGAGGATGGCTTTTAGCCGAAGTTCGAGTGAGTGGACGAATACCTGTGTCCGTTGCAGTTCTTGCGCCCATACTCGCAGCCGACTACAACGTCGTCCAACTGATGCGCCAGTTTTTGCACAGTCCTCAGTTCGTCCTTCTTCATCTGGGCCACCCAGAGCCTCAGCTTATCGCGCAGATCCAGGTCCTCGGCATTCGGCTACAAAAGAAACCCAGGGATGAAGTCGCCTGAAATGCCGCGCGCGTAGATTTCAAATGGAAACCACAAGTAAAGATGTGCTGCGCTGATGGTCCTACAGAGGGTCTGGCCCTTCCCTAAGAGAAAAGAAGCCAACCGGAATCTTGCCTCCTCCCCCACTCCCCCCTTAACTCCAACCTGAAGTCGCGGTGACATTGTTTATACATCGTACAAAAGACAGGGTGTTCGATAATGACACAATCATCTACGTACACACCTCACGTATGTTCGAAGAATGTTTTGCTTCATGCATTTTTTCTTAGAACAAGTCTGAAGAGGGTTTTTGCATGACCTAAGGTATTCCTTGCATGACGGTCACCGTCATGCAAGAAATACCTCAGGCAGTATCTGCAGACTGCCTTTTTTATGAGGTATTACGTACAGGCCTTTGGCTACGAAACGCGTCTTTAGATTCCTCTGTCTCCGCAACTATACTACTACTGGCTCCACTAAAGCCTGCCTCTTGAGGCAGCTGGAGGCGTCGTCTGGCTTCTTGCTGACCGTTCTGACTGCTTCTACAAGGGATGTCCGGGAGACTGCCCTCTGCTATGTCACCTCGATGAATCTGAAGCAAAGTTGCCTCGTTTTTTTATGCGTGACAGTATAGTTAATTTGCTTGACCGTTGTTTGCAACGGGCGTAGAGATTTTCTTTCACTGCGGCGTGCTTACATTAACATAATTAATTTTATTCGTGTATCATTTTCTTTGCTCTGTGCGTATGTTTGTGCTATTTAATTTAATTCTTATTAACCGCCTCGGCGCAATGTAGCGAACAGTAGAACTACGCGCATAAGCTATCTATATGCCACGGCTTGCGCGATTACCGGTGCGCAATTCTTCTTCCACCCGGTTGACTCCTCGGGAGCGACCAGAATTAAAGCAAACGGCTCGTGGTAGGCAGATGAGCAGCGGGACGCTGGTGGGGTCTCCAGCGTCACACACTACCAGTTTCACACGGCTGCTTTCTGACGGTAGGCTAACCACGTGCCTCGCTACGACGCGATTGGATCGCAGGGATGGCAGCTTTCGCCGTTCGCCAAATTAGACTGAGTCGGAGAGTTGCCTACCTTCTGCGTGAGCATGAAAGAAATACCACACGAAGCCAGTCGACAAAAAAAAAAAAAGACGTTGTCTGATACTCAAGGTCAATGCCGGAATGTACCTGTCACGAGCACAGGCGCACACGGGGTTCGTTCGAGACTCACGTCCAAGTAGACCGGCGGGTCGGCGCAGTTCCTCTTGAGCACGTCAGCCGGAATCCCGCTGTTCCTCGGGACTTCGTCTCCGCAGAGTCGGGACCTCCGCAGTGGATTCGCGTTGCAGATGGTCACGTCGGGAAAGCTGGGAGAGAGCTCCTGCTGGTACTTGTAGTTGATGATGACCGGGAACTCCCCGTACTCCTTGAACACGCTGATGCAGTCCCGGAACGTGAGCGTGGTCAGCACGCTGACGACGACGACCCAGACGCACTTGCGGAACACGCCGCCACGCCTCCCGCATATGACGGCGCAGCCGGGTCCTCCAGACTCCGCGACCAGGTCGCGATACCTGACCAGAAAGCCGTACTCACGCTGTGCTCATACCCCATACAAAAGACACGGTGTACGCGCAGATGATTTTGTCATCGTGTATGCACCATACACGATGACAAAATCATCTGCGCGCATGCCCCAAAAGATTCTCAGAGTATGTTTGATTCGTACGAATTTGTGCTTCTAGCATGTCGGCAGGTATTTTCTGTACAATCAATGTGGCAGGACGTTCATAGGAAGATGAACCACACCCAAAACAGTGTCTTCAAGCTGTCTATTGCTCGATGTATTAAGCAGTGTTACCGTGACTTAAAGAGCGGGGTTAAGATACGTAAGCAAATTGAGCCGGGATTATTACACTTCGCCTTACCTTAACGTACATATGCGGAGCGCAAGTTCGTCTGCTTCCTGCGCAGAGGTTGCAATGATGGAAGAAAGCCGAACTTTTATTGGCTGACTGAAAAAAAAAATAGTGGGTAGACCTCGAGGAATGTTGCATTGAGGTCTACCAGCTATTCTTTCCATCAGAGCCAATCAGAGCTCGGCGTCGTTCTGACGTCACCGCAACTCCTGCGCAAGAAGCAGACGACTTGCTCTCCGCACGAGCTCGAGCGCTTGAAGCCTGCTTGCAGTTCAGGCCAAGGTCACCGCCCATGACTGTCCTAGCTAGTACACCGGGAGCTCGAATACACCACGGGTACAAACCCTCTCCCCTTAGATAGTAACAAAAAGGCTCCAACTTTGAACGTGAGACCAGCGATGACTCTTAAAAGTCGTCGAAAAAATGCACTGGGATTTCTACGTGCCATCGAGGGATCCCTAATAACTCACATCGCTTGGTGCTAACGTAACGTTGATGTAGACTTATATGAATCTCTCTGCCTCTTACTCGATGAAAGAGTGCCGTGACAATACTAATATGGGCCTGTAGAAGACAATGCTAATATGGGCCCATAGAAGTTACCTCAAGCTATATTGTGGCTTTTTAACGTATAATATGGTTTTGGAGAGCTTTAGCTTGGCGAAAACATAAGATGGAAAAGCGTAACAAACGAGAAAGCACAATCGGAATGCATGTTCAAGACCTCGGTGCATAAACGATCACGTCTCAATCTACCGATTCCGAAGCGTAATATACGTGGGACGACCCTTTGGTGTACCTTAATTTCGGGGTGAATACTTAGGCTACCCTGGTGTACATGTGCGAGTGGTTTTTAAAGGGGAAAGATTGAACGCAAACCTATGCATGATGTACACGTACATATAACTCCAAGTGCACTGTCTACACGGAGTTAGTACAGAGGCAGCAGGGCCAGAATAGAAACCTCCTGGGCAGGCTGAGACACGGAGTCGACGTTTCGCTGAAAGTCTTCGGGTCCCCAAACGAAGCTGTGACTGCCAGTGCAAGACATCCCAGTTAATATCTTTTTACTACTTACTTAAACTGTGTACTGCGAAGAAGACACTGTCCTACGAAGAAACTTTACCGTGTAAAGGTATTATCTCATCTAGAAGCAGACTTCAGCGAGGAAAAGAGCCCATGCATATTTTAACGGGGAAATGTAGCGACAAGAGATGCGTAAGAATGGGTGAACTCTTCGTGGTTGTTTACTGATAATACTGACAACATTAGCGGGAGTTGTTTATCGCGCGACTCGTGCCTGCAATACTTCAAAACATATTAGAGAGTTTTAGTTGGTAATTTTGATATCTCCAATCGACGCTACCCGATACACCACCGGCGCCTTTGCGCATGCATCGTGTTGTTATCGTTATCGAATTATCGGAACGATATACGAAAACTCTCTATTAACGCTACAGTTCAGAACCTGTCTGCACTAACATAGCGAAGGTGCGGAGCTGGGTCGCTTCGGTGCCCTCAGAGCTGGAGTGTCCCGTGGGGGTCCCGAGCCCGCTGCTTTTGAAGAAATCAAACCCGGTATCGATTAGTCGACATATGGCGCGCGATATGTTTTCGGTCAAAAGTGTTACTTCCCCCGCGGGGGAACGCCTATGGGACAAATCGATTACTTAGTTCGGGAACAGCATGTTTTATGCAGTCCCTAATGCGTTGCTTCCTTGTGCCGCCATACGTTTTGGAGGGAAACGTGAGAAAAAGGCGTTCTCAAAATTCGCCCACTTCCAAACCGAGATTCCGAACATAGAAGGAAACCGGGAACATTCTAAGATTCGATTTGCCAATCGATCAAACGATTGATTGTCTGGTGGTGAAATCGAAGGACCCCCAATATTTTTGTTCATACTTTGTTTCACCATAGCTTGGCAAAGTGCGAACGCTACGGCCTCCTCGAGCCAATCAGAACGACGGAGGGAAGCACGTGGCAGCTCTCTGCAAAAGGAGTATCTATGACGTCAAGTAGTCACTAAAGCCACTATAGTGACTAGTTGGTAACAGGTTAAGTGTTCAGGGGAAGCTCCTCCCACCTCTTTACACTTTAGCAGAGCGAGCGCTAGAGAAAAGGTCGCCTTTTCCCCAGCGTTCGATCTGCTCAAGTGGAAAGGGGAGGGTCGAGTTTCCCCTGAACTCTTAATTAACCTGTTACCGGCTATAGTGGTCAATTGTCTTGTTTGGATGCTTTGACTGACTCGCTGAAACCGTAGGTTTTGCCGTTGGCCAGGCTATGGTGTAACGAACGAAGTGTAATTCTGTTGCGTGTATGTTTGAGCAATGAGCAATTTAGCCAGTGCAGTAAAATCGATAGCCTGGTGTCTTTAACGAACACCACGCAGTAGTGACACACGAACCCACGCCGACACGATGCTAATTACGATAGAGAAGGTCAGGGTTTGGGATTGAACCCATGGTCCCTTAATTCTGCAGCACGAGCTTTCGCTCTAAGTGCTCCGAGCTGGTGTGCGCTCGCACTCTCGGCCACCGATGACCTTGGAAAGCCGGCGTCACACTGCTTATCAACGAGGTAGAGGGGCTTAGAGTGACAGGGTGGCATCTGAAAGTAACCCTTAATTGGCAGCCCCATGTTGCACATTTTTGATACCATAGACACACGATATTGCAGTTTTACGTCTACATTTTAACGAAGTACAGCGTACAAATAATTGCTCATTGATCTTTAATAACAATACCGACGAGATAAGTCATGTTTCGTTTGCTTTAAGTCCAAAATGTGCTTTTACGTCAAAAAGTCGGGCAGCTTCGCAATGCTTCCGCTAGATGCTGTCAGCTGCGGTGCTGTATTTTGGGTTTTTATCGGAGCTAGACACTGATCTCTGAGGCTTACACTATTGGAAAAAATAGTTATCATGTTTTTTACAGCGTTCACAATACAAATCTCGGCTCAGTTTTGCGTAAAAGCCTCAGGATTTGGTACGGTCACGTGTCTAGTGGTCAATATTGTACGACATGGTAGCAGCCAGGTGGGGGTCACTTTTGCTTAGTGAACGGGATGCAGTTTTTCGCTCTAAGCCCCTCTACCTTGTTGCTGCTTGTACATCATACAAAAGAGAGTCTGCAAACAGATTCGAACGCAAGTCACGAAGAGATCCGCGCATCGAGTGCCGCATGGCAATGCGTTTAAGGAGAAACTTGGCACGCGGCATTCGAACAACGGATACTGCGTGGACTCGTGTCGGCACACTGTCTTTTGTCTGATGTATAAGCGGTGTAACCCCTAGAGGCTTAAAAAAGCCAGGACACATTATCGGGTTGGAATGTTCATGATTTTTCAGAGTCGTACTGGTCTTAGTCTGGCCCAAGTAGACTCGCACAGACCGCCACTGATTCAGAAGCTTTTTTTTTTCGCGGTGAAATTGCGAGGATGAAAGAGGACTCTTTCTTTCAGTCCTGCCTTCTTTTGCACAGCTGACGAAAGTCGAGCGCGGCTCATGGATTGGACATGAGAGCTGCGTGAGCCCTAGACTTCGGCTTCGGCTCCTAACGATCAATGCCTCAACGGACACTCGTGTAGTGGCTCGTGTCCAACCACTGCGGTGATGAGAATAGCCGAACTCTAACAATGCCTGGAGATCAGCGTGTCTTTTTAGGGGCGAAGCTCCTTAGGGTTTAGCCCTGTACGTTCGGCGTCCGTGCTCGCATCGATTGCCATCCCATCTGTCTTCTTAAAAAAGAAAAAAAAAATGTTTGCCCAATCGACAGGATTCGAACCTGTGCGGGGAGACCCCAATGGATTTCTAGTCCATCGCCTTAACCACTCGGCCACGACTGCGGGACGAGCAGTGGGCTCTGAAATGTGGTAGTAACTCAAGAACTAAGGATGTCATGGATGAAACGTTGCATGAAACGAGCAATAAAACAAATAAGCACCATCAGCACTACCTTTGAACAAAATCAGTATCATCAGCACCACCAGAGCTTCGCCCCAATCAACATCATTCACCACGTGGAGGTGTGGTCATTTTTTATTGTTCACATTCATTTTTTAATCGAAGGTACATTTCAAAAAGATTATATACATTTTAATAAACCATGGTGGTCGCGAGCCGTCGCGATTAGGAGGTAGGGCCATCTATCAATACGAACGCCAAACACACCCCTCTACTGGACCCCTGTCGTCTGCGTTGCTGCCCGCCGTAGGCCCTGGCAAGTTTCTTGGCCTTATTTTTACAGAAGCAGAGCTACGCTTTGTAATTTTACAAGGAAAAACTGGCCTTTGAAATGCACCTTTGACGAAAAGTTTAAATGGCTACGTGCAGATGTCCATTTTTGCGGCCCATTTTAGATCGAGCCTGGTGACTTGAACCACCCTATACTTATGGATGTTCAACAGGACCGGTGTCCATGAACATAACAGCCGAGAAAACATACGAGCAAGGTTCTTCTGTGCATGTTATGGAATGTGCTACAAGAATATATGTTCTGGTTGTATGGCCGTATAAATTAGAATATTTTTCTTCTTTCAGTTCACACCTAACAGATATCCAAGAAAATACCATTTTTTCACTCATTGTTTACGTTTAGGTCATTAACTCAGTGTATTAAAAAAGAATGCCATTTTAATGACATTGCGATAAATAAATCTTGGGTCTTTAAATTGTTCTTCAATCCTTGTTTTCTTCCCATGTTACAAGCAGGCACTCTGTGTATCAGGCCCTGAAATCCCACCAGCACGTAAAGGGCGCTGCCGAAGCCAATGGTAAGGCCATGGATGCTATTCTTATCGCATTTTTGGGCTCGCCAGCTGAAAGTTGACGAAGCATTGACAGTGGCGAAATGGCTACGAAGGTGGGTCAAATGACGTCTCAACGACGATTACCATCCACGGTCGGCCATGGATGATAACCGTCGTTTAGACGTCATCCTATCGATCTTCCTAGCCGTGCAGCCTTCGTTCCGCTTTTATGTCGACCGTTCTCTCGTGAGTGATAGAAGAAATATAAATTTGGTTGGAGCTGTTCATGGTAAGAGCTTAGAATATGGAAAGCGCGCCTTCTTGTATGTCGAGATTGGAAGTTTTGTAAATAGAGAACACTATATGAACGGTAATTCAATATACTATAACAATTCAGGAAGGAACTGACTGTAGCCTACTACACAGGTTATGCCCCCCCCCCTTCCCCCCGGCTATCCTTGAATTACAGGTATATATAATTTTATTAATTTTAGTTTTATCATGCAACCAATTCTGCATAATTAATATATAGTTATAATTATATTATTTGTTAGTCAAATACAAAATGAGCACATGCACCTATGGAATCCGAACACAATTTAGTTGAGTGTATATTCTTCAGTTGAGTGAATGCTCGGTTCAACGATTCGCAGGTGAGCTTTCCTCCGCGCCCGTCAAAGGGCCAATGAGCTTTTCTCCGCATCGGACAATTTCGCGGCGTAAGCCGGTGTTTGGTATCCTCCCGTGGCATAGGTGCAACCCACGTATATTATGGAGGGTCCTTCGTTTTCGGGTTTTATTTTTGTTAACAACTATTTTAACGTTTGTCCTCAAAATAACTGAAAACATTATTTCCCCGTTTGTGATATAGTTTCGGGAAGTGCAGGGTCAGCGTGCTGGACTAAGTAAAAAGCGGGAGGGCTATCCTAAACAAGGACACACTGAGAAAAATGGGGAGACAACCATGGGAACAAGATAGCACCTAGTCTAAGTGTTATCTTGTTCCGATGGTTGTTTCCCCATTATCCTCGGTGTGCTCTCGCTTAAGATTGCCCTCCCTCTTTTGTGCCACCTAGTTTCAGCTTTCAAAGCTCCTACAGTCTTGAATGGGTTTTGCCCATTTTCGTGTTCGGGCCATTCGGCTTAACCTTTATTTTCTTTAGGGTGGCAGTATAAACAATTTGAAGAAAAGTACAAAAAAGTAATTGTTTATAAATTAACTTCAAAACGAAAAAAAAAAAAAAAAAATCCCCGTTCTGGAAATGACGTCGCTGACGTGAAAATAAAAATAAAACCTGAATACG